AGGGTAAGGAATTATTTGTACTATTCTTGTAATGTTTATGTAAGATTGATATTGTTTCAACAATGAAAATTAAAAAAAAAAAAAAAAAGATTCCAAAGAACTAGAGAGTAGAAATAAGGCTGGTTGGATGGCACAGGCCCACAAAATAGAGGACTTAAAAATCGGGAAGAACTTAGATTTCAATAAGAAGAAATAATAAATACAAATGATGGGGGGAAGTAAACATGCATTTGGAAGTACCAGTATGGGGCTGTAGGTGGGAGGGGGCAGTTAAGATTAAAGGATACAGGGAGGGGAAACAGGAGGAAATGCAAGGGAAGGAAAGGACAAGGTAAAGAAAAAAAAAAAAAGCTCATGCTCAGGGAAATACTTCAGCACCTAAGAGTTGGAAAAGAAAGGACGGAGGATTCTCTGGCAGGAAACAGACCTTCTTTGACTGCAAATTTCTCTGCCCTCAGGGTAAAAGGAGACACATTTATAAGAGTGCCTACTGGGCTGCCCTGGTGGCGCAGTGGTTGAGAGTCCGCCTGCCGATGCAAGGGACGCGGATTCGTGCCCCGGTCCGGGAAGATCCCACATGCTGCGGAGCGGCTAAGCCCGTGAGCCATGGCCGCTGAGCCTGCGTGTCTGGAACCTGTGCTCCGCAATGGGAGAGGCCACAACAGTGAGAGGCCCACGTACCGCAAAAAAAAAAGTACCTACTGCTTGCCAGATTCTTTCTAGGTACTAGGATACACATGAGCAAACAAAAAAGATTTTTCATTCTCATGGAGTTCACCTTCTATTGGAGAAGACAATATACACATAAATAATTCAATACATTATTTCAGATGGTGCTATAAAAAAAAATAAATGAGTAATGTGATAAAAGTGTTTGGAGACATCAGGGAAGACCTCCCCAAAAAAGGTAAAACTTGAATTGAGAACTGAGAAGTCAACCCTGGCAAGATCAAGGTGATCTGAGCAGGAAGAGAACCACACATGCAGAGGTACCAGAGCAGAACAAACATCTCTGTATGGATGAAGCACAAACCAACCAGGCAGAGTGGAAGGAGATGAAGTCTCCTGGCAGGGGCCAGATTACACTGAACCTTGTAGTTTAATTTTTATTCTAGATTCAGTGGAAGGCCACTTAGAAGATTATAAGCAGCAGAGTGACATGATCTGACATGATTTTTGTAAGTTCACTTTGGCTGCTATGCTGAATACTGTAGGGGGGAAAGAATGGAAGTAAAAAAACCTAAGGGGAGCTACTGCAGTCCAGCAAAATATGACAAACGTTTTGGACTAAGTTTACAGACATGAAGGTAGAAAATAGTAGAGAGGTTCCACTTGTATACATTTGGGAGTAAGAACCAAAGGACTTGCAGAAAAACTGAAGAGAACTCTGAGGAAAAGTCAAGGTTGAAGTTTGCAAGTCCCCAGAATTTATGTTTATTCCCCAGCTGTCTTCTGGGCTCGAGATGGACATTTCAACTGTCTGCTGGAATGTTTCCCTGAATGTCCTATTGGAATCTCCAACTCAAAGGGTCTCAATCAGAATTCATCACCTTCCCACATTAGGAAGGATGTTATAAGGAAGTATGAAAATAAGGAAGAAATCTTCCTTATTTAAAACCTACTTCTATTATTGGTACCACCATCCAACCAAACATAATACACTCCAGAGTCACCGTCATCCCCTTCTCCCTCATCCCCACCCCCTATGACTGACTAACCAATCAAAGTATCCAAATTCTCTCTTTGTATTATCTCCTGCATTCACTTCCTCTTTTCCATTCCATGGCACCACTTTTAAAAAGCGTCCAACTTATCTTGCCTTCGTGCTGTACTCTGTTGCCAGAAGACTTTCTATTAAACTGGGTACAAACTCCTCGATCTGGTATTTGAAGCTCTTGATGCAGCTCAAACCACATTTCTAGTCTTTCAGTGCGCTTTCTAACACGCGACCTACCAGTGAGCCAAACAGCTGCTGTACCCCTAATGGACCAATCATCTCACCTCTGTGCCCTTCCTACTGCTTCACGGGAGGTGTACACTCTCTTTGCTCTTCACTCATTAAAAGCCTACCATCCTTCTAAGCCCAAGTTAAATGCCACTTCATTCACCTCATCTTGCTATCCTCATCTAAATGTGATCTCTTCTATTTCCAAACTCCCAGGAAATGCTGTTTATAATCTTATGGCTCTTGCATCTGAGCATTTTTGACATTTATCATATCTCACATACTGATTTGCTTGCTGCATGTTCTTTGAAAGCAGAAACTATGACAGTCATCTTTACATTTCAAATAGAAACTGCCACGGGATACTGCACTCAGTAAACACTGTAAATATTTGTAAAATTTTAGACTATTTACAAAAGTAGCTCCTACTTGAATTCAGGGAATAAAGCACACAAAATCTGCTCTGGGCTTTCAGTATACTGATATTTAAGCAGGCAGTGTGAGCACATGGGCCTATAAAACAAACCTCTATCTTTAAAAGGAAAAAGAGCAAGTTGAGTAAGGGAACTTGGTAGAAATCGCAAAAATGCAAACTAAACTCACATCATTTTCCTGGGCAAGTCTTAAAATTTCATCAAGTGTTACAAACGTATCATTTCCTCTGACAGCATCTTTTTCCATAAATCCCAGATGAATATCTGTTGCAACTAAGATTTTAAATGTATTTTCATCATCGCTGTATTTAAAAAGAAGAAACACGTCAATATAATTCATTAAAAGGATGTTCAAGCAAACTGAAACCTAAATCTATAAAATAATAGCAGTTATGACGTAAAATCATTTTTCTAGCCCTAAACTAGGTCCAAAAATTTGAAGCATTCAACAGACCATTAATGTCACAGTTTTCTTACCACTAATACAAAGCAGAACAAATGTACACACATTTTTAAAAGGTTCTGTAACTGCTTCAGAAATGTATAACCTCATTACAACCAGTTTCATAAACTGATATGTAACCTGGATGTGAAAGCTTGGTTGTTTTCCTGCTCTGTTCTACAGCAAAAATCCAAGAGGATTTGATCCCAGTATCTAAACTTGCTATTTATCTACTTTGCACTTTCCCAGGAAAATTAGAATTAACTGGTTAATTTTAAGAGCCCTTCCCCTTACTTTATAAGTAGATTTTTATCCTAATAAACTAGTAACTTACATCCAGGCCCCTGAAGAGGTTTGCTCTCCATACAAAGTTAGTTTTTCACTAATGACTTTGGTCAAGTAACAAAACTAATTTACAATGCCATTTAAATTTGGTAGTATTCAAAAGTACTTTCATGTGAAGCAGCAATATGATAGTTATTAATTCTCTCTTAAACTTAATATAACTTTTAATTGTCTTTAAAATATTTTGGTATCCCTGATCTCAACTCCCACACGTAAACAGGTTAAGTATTGTTATCTCTGAAAAACTAGAAAGCTATATACAGAGAAATTAACTGATTTATCATGAAACAAAATGGTAGAAATGGAACTAAAACCCGGTATTAACACTCAGGCTGTTTTCACTAAACCATACGAACTTCAAAAAAAATTTATATATATCTCCAAAATTCAAATCTTTATACATAAGAGAATTTTCCAGAAAAGATTTCTCTTCATAAACTTCAAAATGATATGAACAGTTCTGATTGCTATATACATACAGGTAAGTCAGAATACTTTCAGATCACATTACTACCCAGACTTCCATAGCAATCTGTAAGGTATTTTCCCTTGAGGTCTGTCACTTAAATATGAGAATTAATCTGAGAGCCTTTTTTTTTTTTTGGCTGCATTGGGTCTTCGTTGCTGTGCGCCAGCTTTCTCTAGCTGCAGAGAGCAGGGACTACTCTTCGTTGCGGTGCACGGGCTTCTCATTGCGTTGGCTTCTCTTGTTGCGGAGCACGGGGTGTAGGCGCGTGAGCTTCAGTAGTTGTGGCACGTGCACTCAGGAGTTGTGGCCCACGGGCTCTAGAGCACAGGGTCAGTAGTTGTGGCGCACAGGCTTAGTTGCTCGGTGCCATGGGGGATCTTCCCCAACCAGGGCTCGAACCCGTGTCCCCTGCATTGGCAGGCAGATTCCTAACCACTGCGCCACCACCAGGGAAGCCCTGAGAGTCATTTGTAATCCAATTATACAAATGAAGAAATAGAGACAAAGTTTAGAGGCTTGCTAACTTGTCCAAAGTTACACAATGCTAATTAAGAAATCAAGGGGACTTCTCTGGTAGTCCAGTGGTTAAGACTCTGTGCTTCCAACGCAGGGGGCCCGGCTTCAATCCCTGGTTGGGGAACTAAGACCTCACATGCCTCAACTAAGCCCGCATACCGGAACTACTAAACCCACGCGCTCTAGAGCCCGCAACTAGAGAAGCCCGTGCACTGCAAGGAAGACCGGGCGCGCTGCCACGAAGACCCAGTGCAGCCTAGATAGATTAGATAAATAGATAGATAGATAGATAGATAGATAGACAGATAGATAAAAAGAAATTAAAACAAGCGTGAAAGATTCCAAGTCTGAAGCTTTTTCCACATAACTTTTTCTAGTCCTTTTATTTATTTTCATTTTAGTCAGATTCATTTGCAATTTATTCAGCACTAAAGCAATTTACTTCTTTAAAAATCTGCTTTAAAAGACTTGCAATAGGACCTCCCTGGTGGCTCAGTGGTTAAGAATCCCCCTGTCAATGCAGGGGGACATGGGTTTGATCCCTGGTCCGGGAAGGTCCCACATGCTGCGGAGCAACTAAGCCCGTGCGCCACAACTACTGAAGCCCGCGAGCCTAGAGCCCCGAGCTCTGCAACAAGAGAAGCCACCGCAATGAGAAGCCTGCACACCGCAACCCCGCTCACCGCAGGTAGAGAAAGCCCGCCGCAACAATGAAGACCCAACGCAGCCAAAAATAAATTAATTAAGAAAAAAAAAAAAAGACTTGCATTAGCTAGTAAGACTTAGTTCAAGCATATTTATAGCTTCAATAGTTTAAGACAAAACATAAGAACATAAACTTATATAGCAATATGCCAACCTACTGCAAAACCCCAATCTATAGCTGCATATTATCTTTAGTTAATAAACATATAGCATGAAATGTTAACCATTCCAAATATTCATTTTGATGACTAACACTTGTATTCGGAGGCAAGGTCTTTATTTACTCATAATTTATTAAATAAGTTTTCTTTTATGGTGATCATAGTTGATAGACTGTAGAAACCCAAAGCAACAAAGACGACTTCGGAAGACAGGTGCTTACAGAGCATCTGCAGGACTCATTTCTATGATCAGTCCAGCTCCTCCAGGACCACTTCTCTCTCCAAGTACCCCTGGGTCCTGTGCTCAAACACGTCAGAAAACTCACTCGATTCCAAATTCTAAAACAAAATTATATTATTTAAAACACATTTTTAAAAAGCAGACTGGCAATTTTGGAAGTGTCTCATTTTCAATTAAGCACCTACTATACTTTTATTTTCAGAGCTTAAAAAACAAAACAGAAAAACATATCTCCAGTAACACTCTAGTTTTACCATTATGATTAAGCTCCTCTCCTGTTTCCCTTTCTATGCCCCATGGGAAGCTAATGCTTGTTAAATGAATGGGCAAAAAAGGTCACACCCAATAGTTCTGGTTTAGCACACGAACTCTGGATGTGCAGAAATGTTTAAGTTGCATGCATGGGCTACTCTGGAGCATGAGGCGACCCCGTATTTCCTGCTTAAACACAAATTTTTTTTTTAAGGAATGGGCTTGTTTTGAAAAGATAGGGGGGTCCAGGTTTACAGCTAGTGTAAATAAGCAGAAACACGTGGTTTACGGAAAATGACCAGGATCTTTGGGGAGGAGCAGCTGCCACCGCGGAACGACCCCTCCCACGTCCGGATTCCTGGTTCGGTGGGGATTCTAAGCCTCAGCAGCCCCGCACCACCGGACCCTCAGAAACCGGAACGCGGAAACCTCCCAGGCTCCTCCCGAGCCTACCCGGCCCAGAGTCAATCGTCTCTGGGCTTCCGCTCGCGATCCTGCAAGATACAGAAAGCGACTCCTAAACTACCCCACATCTGGACTCTCCAAAGCCCCACCCTGGAACCCGAGGCTGTCTTTTACCCGGGAAGAAGGAGGGAGATTCGTGAGAAGAAAAGCAACAGCACCGCCTGAGAAGCTGCTTGGCCATAAACCTGAATTAAGCGGGAGAGAAAAAGCACCTCCTTCTCTCGCGATACCTCATAAATGACGTAGGCGCTTCAACTCCTCTCATTGGTTGCCGACTGCCGTAAGGTAGCAGGAAAAGTTGCAGCGAGGACCCGCCCTCATACAGGAGCCAATCCTGAGTAGCCCGGGGGACGAACCCCGGAAGCGAGCTTTCCGGCGGCGATTTTCCCCTCTCTAAGGTGGGTAGGTCTTTCTCGTCCGGGGCCACGCTTCCTGGTCGCCTGGCGCCACCTAAGAACTCCTGGGCCCAAAGGGGCGGGTCCCCTTCGACCCCTGCCGAGCCCTGCAAATCGGGCCGCGTCGTGGGTCCTAAGTAGGGCTGGAGCGGCTTCTTCGCTCGTAGAAGTTCGGAAGGCCGCAGACGCGACTCCTGGGCCTGTGAAGTGACCAGCCGGTGCTGGAGGGCCGGGACTGGTGGTCTTCTCCCTCACCTCCACTCCCCAGAGATTGAGCATTCGGACTCCAGTTTACAAGACTTTTCCTGCGTCCCCTTATTGTCTGCCTGGATCCCGGGTTCAGCACATCTGCATTGCTTTGTGCTGACAGCAGTAAAATAGAGTACATTAAAAAACAATGTGAAACTTTTGAATTAGAAAATGTGGGCTTTTAGTTCCATTGAAAGTTGTTTTAATCTATCAGAACCTCAGCGCCTTCACTTGTAAAATGGGGTTTACGGCCCCACCTGTCACTGAATTGTTAAGAGCTAACATAGTTTAGATCTCTTATGGAATGTGATCTTTAAAAAACATACCCTAGTTCTTCTTGGTGGAGTATCATCAAGTAGGTATCTTGATCGGCTTTTTAAGCCCTGAATCAGGGAGATGCACCTGGGGTTGACTTTTTAAATTAAATCCATTAAGAAATTTTTATATGTAATTTATTTTACCTGGAACAGTAAATTTAAATTATAAAAAGTTTTTATGAAAAGGAAAGGGGGGTATAAGATCTGTGCTATAATGTTACTGTGGTTGATACAAATGACAAGTGAACTATATAGTAAGGTATTTAATAAAGTGTTTAATGAGTAGATTTGTGATCACTTTTGCATTGCAAGGTTCAGAGAATAGTTTGAGGAAAGTGAAAATATTAGAACATAAAGCCTTTCTGATAGGGTCTCTCGATTGACTCTGTAAAGTTGGACAGTCTTTGGAAATCCTTTAGTACAATCCTTTCATTGTGCAACAAAGTAACAGGTCCAGAGAAGGTACTGGTCATGCGTGATAAATTTAAACTTGACTTTAATGCTCTTGGCAGTAGTAATAAAATCTACTGATGCATTAGGATTGTATCAATTAAAGCTCGTAAAAATTAGGTAGAAATCAATATTTTAGGGGTACACGACTAACTCTCAAATTTCTCGGAATCCATTCCAAGCAAAATCAAGTGATAGGGCTTTAATTCTGTTTAATTCTACAAATATTTCTTAATGTTTGCTATATATAAGAGGGACATAAATGTAAGTTAAATATAGTCCCTATCCTTAAGCTTACAATCTTTTAAGAGACTAAAACAAGAACAAAATTAGTAGTGAAATAAAACAGTATGTAGCACAAAAAAAAGTAGAAACTAGAGAGAGATCTAATTTGGAGGCTCAAGAAAGACTTAATGAAGGAGGCAACATCTGAGAAGAGTCATGAAAGACTGATAAGATTTCGACAAATATAGTTGGGAAGCTGAGAAATATTTTTAAAATATCTGTTATTCTCATTTTGTTTAATTGGTTAAAGTTTAATCTGCTGCATAACTCTTTAAGCTGATACTGGTTTATAAATTGTTATGGCAGCCTAGCAGAATAAATATCATTTCCTTCAGGAAGCCTTCTCTACTCCCTGAGGACTGGGTTAATTATGACCTTCCTGTATATTCATCATATCTAGATATGGTCTTATCATAGCACTTAAACACTGTCTTTGCCAATCTCCCTGATGAGACAGGAAGCTTCTTGAGGTTAAGACGTGGATCTTGTTCATTATTGAATCCCAGTACCCAGAGACTGGCACATACCAGGCATTCTATTCATCTTTGTTGAATGAAGGAGTAAATGACAGCCAAAGTTCTGTTTCAAAACAAGAACCCAACTAAGAACTGTAGTTATCTGTCAATGAATAGGACTACTTTTTAAAGCAGTGAATTTTCCTAAGCCTGAAATTGTTAAAGTAGAAATAGGTTGATTATTACAGATGTCATGATAAAGATATCTGCATTGATGAGAGATTGGAACACATGTCCTTTGGGGGCTATTCCATCTCTAAGAATCTCTGATACTTGGAAGTAGTTTTTTAGGAACTAAAAATTTTTGCTCCTGCTTTATAGCTTCTGTGTGTCTAGTCTATAAAAATCGTGAATGTGCTTATCTTTATTAGTTATAATTTAAAAGCTTCAAGCATTAATCACTGTTAGCATAATACAATATAGTATGTGAACCAATAGATTCAAAATAGTGTTATAACCACTGACTTAGCAGAAAAACAATATTAAAAATAAAGATAACTGAAATCTATCAGTTCCAATATTTAATGAATGTGAAGGGTATTAATAAACACCAAAAAAGTTTAGGCAGGGTTTATTTGTGTATATTTGCAAGACTTATCTATGCTATTGATAAAGCCTCAATAACCATTTTGCTCCTAATTTTTGTGTTTGTGTTTCAGATCTTGATGAATAAAATAAAGCAGACATAATTCATCTCTGGAAAGATTATTTATACTCTGGCATTTGAAATGCTTTGTATTTAGAATAGTAGTAAAAAATGGAAAAAGAGAAAGTAAATGATGATGGAAAACCAGACCCAGAGAACTCCTTGGACTTTTCTGAACACTTTAACCAACTTGAATTATTAGAAACACATGGACACCTTATTCCCACTGGCACCCAAAGTCTCTGGGTAGGGAATTCTGATGAAGATGAAGAGCAAGATGAAAAAACTGAAGAGTGGTATCAATTGCAAGAAAAAAAAATGGAAAAAGATCCAAGCAAATTGCTTCTTTGGGCTGCTGAAAAAAATCGGGTAAAAAAAAAAAAAGAACAGTTAAAGAGGAAACCTTAATTTAGTAGGAAACGTATTAGATTGGAAGCCAGAAGACCTGTCCTGAATCTTGCTTTAGTCTGTAACTTTGGGCAAAGCCTACTGTTTCTGAACCTCTATTTTCTTATCTGTAAAAATGGCCACTATAATACCTGCCTCTTTCATACAGGGTTTTATACAGAGGCAATGTATGTGAAAACACATAGTAAGCTACAAAGTGTCACATGGGTATTTTGGGGAGCTTTAAGAATAATTATAAAGAGAGCAAGCAATCATCTGTATCTTTAAATCATTTATATTAAGTCATTAGGGTCATCCTAAAGACAAGTATTTAGTAAAGAGAGGATGGGAATTAACATTTATTAAATACCAACTATACCATGTGCCTTACTACATTATTGATTTAATCCTCATATATCCGTATAAGATATGTCATATTCTTCCCTTTTACAGATTAAGAAGTTGAGATTCAGGAACATTAATTTGCCCAGGATCGTCCAAGTAGGATGACCCTGCTTAACAGCCAAAGTCTGTTCTTCCCACTTAGCCATTTGTATCTTGTTTTACTAAGTTCCCCCATGTCTGTGTTAATAAACTAATAAATGGTCTTATATTTTTGGATAACTTTTTAAGCCAAGAGCAGACTGCATCCCGCCAGAGGTCCTCAGACCAAACTGAAAATCACTTCCTGAAATCATGTATCTGAGGTTGTTTTAGTTAGAAGGAATTGCGCTCCTTAATCTCGACTTCCTTGTTACCATTGTATTCTACTGTTAAAAGAAGTTGTTTTTTTTTTTAAGATTGGAGTGTAGTTGATTTACAACGTTGTGTTGGTTTCAGATGTACAGCAAAGTGATTCAGTTATACATATATTCATTCTTTTTTAGATTCTTCTCTCATTTAGGTTATCACAGAATAGAGTGTGAGTAGAGTTCCCTGTGCTATACAGTAGGTATTTTTTAAAGTTTTATACAGTATGTATATTGGTGTGGTAATCCAACTACAGAAAGATCAGTCTGTTCCATTACTATGTTTTCTT